CGGCACTCCCGCTAGCAGTGTTCGGAGCTAGTGGCGCTCCAGGATGCGGGTGCGCAGTATCACATTGCTGCGAATGGACCCAGAACAAGTCAGATTTCGTTGAAGCAGTGTTCAATGCGGATGGAGCGGGAATGCGGGGCTACACCTTGGCGTCAGACGACGCGGGTGTGTCTCCGGCTTGCAGTTTTCTGAACCTTATCCCCGGTGTGCACGACGAGGGGGGCATCTGCTCGCAGCCTTCGCACAGTGCGGAGAACGCGACGGTCTGCGAGGCAATCTCTGCGGACGAGCAGGCGGTGAGCCGGCTGCAGTCTGGCCGGTCCATCCTGTCGGTCTTCGTGGAGCCCGGCACGTGTGCGGGGCTCCAGGGTGGTGCGTGCTGGGAGTCGGAGGCCGGCCTCGCGTACTACGACTGGCGGAGCTTCGACGCGGGCGTTGGCGGCGGCTGGTGCGCTGGGTCCGTGGCTGTCGCCACGCCGGCACTCGCGTGGATGGTGTCCTGCCCTGCGCGGTGCCAGGGCGACGGCCAGTGCGGACTGTTGATCAGTGCCAAGTGGGTGGATGGCAACGCCTCCGCGAGCGAGCCTGGATTCGATTCGTGCTCGGGCGACTACTCTGGAGGCCTGCAGGCCACCATGGGGGCGGATGCCTGGACCGCCGGCTCGGAGGGCTCCCCCAGGTGGAGTTGCTTCGACGTCCCGCCCGGGCAGATGGGCCCAGGCAGCTCCCGCGTTCTCGCATACAGCATCGGCGACCTGCCGTGTGTCGCCGCCCCAACGACAACAGGCAGCAGTGGCACGGCGACGACGACTGCAGAGTCCAGCAGCTGTACCCGCGTCGGTCATGTCATCCTGTCCCGAATTTTCAGCGCTGCGCTGGCGGTGAGTCTTTGGGCGTGAGATGACTGCAGAACGGCATTCATGCACAAGCAGTGCCACACGAGTACGTGCTACAGAGGTGAGTGCGTGTGCAGAGGTGAATTCAGGACTTAATGCATTCCGTGCACTGCGTGGTAGCCAAGTTGCACATCAAGCAAATTACAGCGTAGGACCCTGCGTTCTCAGGATGATAACACTCCTCGTGCATTACAGAAGCCCCGCAGAAGTAACGGATGTGCATTAAAAACATCAAGAGCGGTCTGCAGGCAGTTCTCGGAGAATAGGCCTATCTATGGGCATGGGGGTCAGGGATAGGGTCGAAGCCGACCGCGCTCATCGCCTACATTCGTTGCCCCCGGAGCTGTCAACAGGGTTGCATTCCCCAAACAGTGCTTGCACTTACAGGTTCTTACTTCTGTTCAAAGGAACTGGACCGTGTCTTCGGTCTGGCGGCTATGTGGCCGCCGTCGTCGCCCCATTGCCGCCTCGCCGCTGCCCGTCGTCTGCGCCGTGCCTTCGCTCTGGCGGCTATGTTGTCGTCGCCGCCGCCCCGTCGCCGCCGCGTCGCCGCCCGTCGTCTGTGCCGTGTCTGTGGTCGGCGGCGAGGCCGCGCATGTGCCCCAGATGATGACGATGACGATGACGATGACGAGGACAATGACGATGACGATGACGATGACGATGACGGTGATGATGACGATGATGATGATGATGATGATTTTGAAGATGATGATGATGATGATGATGATGATGATGATGATGATGATGGTGATGATGGTGATGATGATGATGATGATGATGGTGCTGGTGGTGGTGGTGGTGATGATGGTGGTGATGATGTTTATGATGATGATGGTGATGATGATGATGCTGAGGATGATGATGATGATGATGATGATGATGATGATGATGATGATGCTGGTGCTGATGATTATGCTGGTGATGATGACGATGATGATGATGATGATTATTATGAGGATTATGATGGTTATGATGCTGATGATGATGCTGCTGATGATGTTGCTGATGATGATGCTGATGATGCTGATGATGACGATTCTGATAATGACGACGATGATGCTGGTGATAGTGATGATGCTGAGGATGATGATGATGCTGGTGCTGATGTTTTTGCTGATGTTGATGATGATGCTGATGCTGCTGCTGCTGATGATGATGATGAGGGGGAGGAGGAGGAGGAGGATTGTGCTGACGATGTTGATGATGATGATGATGATGATGATGATGGTGGTGGTGGTGATGATGATGAGTATGATGATGATGATGCTGCTGCTGCTGATGATGATGATGATGGTGGTGGTGGTGGTGATGATGATGCTGATGCTGATGCTGATGCTGATGATGATGAGGAGGATGATGCGGATTGCGTTGATGATGATGGTGCTGCTGATGATGCTGATGATGAGGATGGGGATGAGGACGGTGACGATGATGATGACGATGATGATGCTGACGATGATGATGCTGATGATGAGGATGATGATGTGGATGATGATTATGATGATGCTGCTGATTATGATGATGATGATGATGATGATGATGCTGACGATGATGATGATGATTATGATGATGTTGATGATGATGATGGTGATGATGATGTTGATGATGATGATGCTGATACTGATGCTGATGCTGATGATGAGGGAGGATGAGGATGATGCTGCTGCTGCTGCTGCTGCTGCTGATGATGATGATGATGATGATGATGATGATGATGATTATTCTCCCAGTGCGACCCTACCTAGGAGTTGGAGCCTCTAAGGCAGCAACATTAGTGGATGCTGTGCTGAGCTATGCTATGCTATGCTATGCTCTGCTATGCTATGCCATGCTTTGCTATGCTGCGCAATGCTGTGCGGGGCTAGGCTATGCTAGGCTAGGCTATGCTATGCTATGCTATGCTGCGCTATGCTATGCTGCGCTATGCTATGCTATGCTAATGCTATGCTATGCTATGATATGCTATGCTATGCTATGCTATGCTATGCTATGCTATGCTTTTGCTTTGCCTTCGCTCTTGCCTTCACTTTTGCCTTTGCTTTTGCTTTTGCTTGGCACCCAGGGAACGCAACTGGGGGAACCGCGCGTTTGCTTCAACCTTTGCTGTTGCTTTTGCTTGGCTCCCAGGGGACCGGGGGAACCGCTCGGGGCGGTTTCCACTGCCCGGCCCTTTAAGCGAAGACAGTAAGAACCCTTCTAGGCAGAGCCTAGGTAGGGAATGATGCTGATGCTCATGATGAGGATGAGGATGAGGATGATGCTGATGATGATGATGATGATGATGATGATGATGATGATGACTATGATGATGGTGATGGCGATGATGATGATGATGATGATGATGATGATGATGATGATGATGATGATGATGGTGGTGGTGGTGGTGGTGGTGGGTGGTGGTGGTTGTGGTGATGATGATGATGAGGAGGAGGAGGAGGATGAGGAGGAGTGTTTCGGACTTGTCAGCGCTCGAAGCGCCGTAGCAGCATGCCCTCGTCTGGCCCCGCGGCCAAGGCCTCCTCGCCCGGACCGTGCGCCTTGTCGCGGGCTTGATGACATTTCTTCAATCGGCTGGTGGGGATCAGGCCAGATACATCAAGGTATGTAGCACCCCGCAGTTGCGGATAAGAGTGAGGGGGCACACGCGGGTTGGGTCGCGGGTGGGTCGCGGGCTGGGTCGCGGGGTGGTTCGCGGGGTTGGTCGCGGGGTGGGTCGGGGGGCAGGTCGCGGGTGGTGGGACGACGACAAGAACAGCTCAAGAACGCAACAACAATCCGCTCCGCGGAACCCCACTTCAGCCACGCGCCCAGGGACAGTGAATGACCGTTCGGCCCCCCCACTGACATCTGGATAAGTCGAGCTAAGTCATGAGAAACCCAGGGATCTCTTGAGAGCAAATCGCGGTCGCTACAGCAGGGGTCAAAAGGGCATCAGAAGTCGTTAGGCCCTGAACGATGTATGTCGCCTCCAGTCAGTTGTGCAGGAAGGTTGTCTGGACGGGTGCACGTGGGCCCCCCAGATCAAGGCTGGGCGCCTGCTGCGTGCGCAGGAGGAGGGGGGCCAGGCATCTGGCGCCTCGATCTTTTTCGATGCTGGGCCCTTGGAACCCTCGACCGCTTGACCAGGGTCAGTTCCTGATCTCGCCTCGCTCTTGACAGCCCCGAAGGCCCGCGGCTCGCCCCCACTGGCCAGACACTAGTGGAACACCAGCCGCCTCGACTTGCAAGCCAATGCCTCGGTAGATTTTGTGTTTTGGTGGTGGTGGTGGCCATTTTTGTCTGTGTTGGAATAGGTATACTGCCGCTCCTCTGGCTCAAGGGTCAACATGTTAATGCGGTCTTCCGTGGCCACTTCGGCTCAAGGCGTCCTTGCTGTTGACAGCCCGCGTGTCCTCGTGGGCGGGATACGCATCCGTGCCCACGGCCTCGCGGGCGCGACCCCGTGGATACGGGGCGTTTCTTCGCGGATGCCCCGCGCGTAACGTATCCATGCGGCCGCGTATCCCTGGGATTCCGCCCCGGAAGCCAGACCGCGAGAGCGTGGACGTGGACGCGCTCGCCGCTCGTGGTGTCCGCGGCGCGTTTTGGACGGCAAAGGGCAGGGAGCAGCGTGGGCGTGATCGAACCCTCCCCGCCCTCCCCACGAGTTGCCACCGCATCGTCCTCGCCCCTCCTCCTCCTCCTCGCCCCTCCTCCTCCTCGCCCCTCCTCCTCCTCCTCCTCCTCCTCCTCCTCCTCCTCCTCCTCCTCCTCCTCCTCCTCCCACTCTTCCGTCCTGCGCTCCCGCTGCTCGTGCACGGCTTCATCCTCGTCCCCGTTCCATGCCAGGCCAGGCGGCCTACGTAGATGTTCCTGCCCTCCCCGTGGCAGTCGCGCGGACTGGGCCCCTCGCGCTCCCCGCTGGTTCGATCCGATCGGCTCGGCGCCGTGGCGCCGCAGCAGGACCCCGCTGGCCGCGGCGGCTGTCCCCTTGCAAGGCCGGGCCCCGCCCGGCCCGCCGCCCAGCCGCGCCGCCCGAGGAGGAGGAATGATGATGATGATGATGATGATGATGATGATGATGATGATGATGATGATGATGATGATGATGATGATGATGATGATGATGATGATGATGATGATGATGATGATGATGATGATGATGATGATGATGATGATGATGATGATGATGATGATGATGATGATGATGATGATGATGATGATTGATGAGGAGGAGGAGGAGGAGGAGGAGGAGGAGGAGGAGGAAGAGAAAGAGGAGGAGGAGGAGGAAGAGAAAGAGGAGGAGGAGGAGGAGGAGGAGGAGGAGGAGGATCCTCTTGGAATTTTTTGGCACCCCTCCCCTCCTCTTCACGGTGCTCTCCGGGCCTCGCAGACATCCATCGCCTCGAGCAAACATCAGGACGGATGCTTTCCCTCTCCTTCTTCGCCCTCTCGGGGCCCTGGCTGGGCCTCGGGACTGCCAAATACGGCTCGGGATGAAAAACCCGTCCCTGGGAGGTGGCCGAGAGCTCGGGGTCGCGTGTCTCGAAAGAGTCGAGGGAGGCTAGATGTCTGGGCTCCCCAAAGGAGGGCCTCTCGGTCTCCAGCTGTCCCTCCCTCCTTCCTCCTGCCTTCCTCCTTTTTTCTTTCTCTTCCTGCCTTTCTCCTTTCTCCTCCTCCTCCTCCTCCTCTTTCTCCTCCTCCTCCCATCCCTTCCTCCTCCTCCTCCTCCTCCTGCTCCTCCTGCTCCTCCTGCTCCTCCTGCTCCTCCTCCTTCCTCTTCCCTCTTGCAGGAAAGCTGGCGAAAACATGGTCAGGACCATCCCTTCCACTTCTTCCGGCCCTGGCCAGAGGCTCCCTCTGTTCCTGCTCCAGCTTGGGCCCGCGCATCCCATCTGGTCTGGGTTCACATCCGCCTGTAGGGGGACACGCCCGACGCAAGGCCACTTTCCTTATGGAGCTTCCATCTTTGACTCTTTCAGCTCCTTCCTTGCCTCCTGCGAGGGAGGAGTAGCAGGTGGACGCCCGCTCGATTTCGCCCAGCGCTCTTCTCATCCACCCCGGTTCTGCCTGAGGCATACAGTCGGGGCCCTGAAGAAGGAACCCTTTTCGTTGGGGAGGGGCTCCGCGTTCCTTAAGTGTTTCACAGCTTGCCTCAGGCTTTCCTTATGTTTCCGACAGGAAATCGAAGGTTAACTTATGGAAAAAAGGGGCCTCGTTCCTTATTTAGGGTTCCTTAGGTTAGCGTCCCGACTGTATCCCACTCGCCCGCTCTCGCCTGGTCGAGTTCACCAGCTGCCGTCTTCTGGTGCTTCCATGTCTTCCAAATGGGGCTGGAGTAGATGGGTTCGGAGGATCTCAACGCATCGCCGATGCACTGGCGATGGGGCGCGTGATGGAGCCTATTCTTCTCCATCCCGCCTTCGCCGATGCATCGGCGGTGCACCGCGATCCTCCAAACCCATCTGCTCCGGTCTAATTTGGGAGGCCGCCAGTGTCTCGGGTGGACTCGGTCTGGTGCAGCCGAGGCATGACCTAGTGAAACTGAGTTTTCCTATCGCTTTTCCGCAGTTGTGCTTGCGTTTTTTTTGGTATTGGGTTTTTATTTTTCAATATATATATATATATATGTTTTTTTTTGTATTTTCATTATTATTTATAATTAGGTATCATTTGTTCTTGTTATATTTTTATTTTCTTCTTCTTCCCCTTCCCAATCCGGCCTTCGTCTAGGTTTGCGACCATGCCCCCTGAATAGCATGCACCGTGCAGCTTTTGGCACAGGATACCACTGGGGACCGCCAGATGCAGTCGAACGCCGATGGAGAATAACGGTTCCATGGCCGAGCTTTTGATAATATTTTCTGATACTTCTTTTCCGTATTCTTTTATCCTCGCAGGGGTTGTTTTTTCTTGTTCCGATTCGATCGATCCGATTCGATTTCGAGTTCGCCGTGCTTGATCCGATTCGATTCCGATTTTCCACAGATCCAGTGTTGCCCAATGCTTGCAGGGTGCAGCTGTGCATTCTGGCGCAGCTGACCCCGATCCGATCTCGGCTACATGCCGAGGCAGCCCCGTCCGACGCACGTGGCGGAATACTGCTTGACGTACAGTCCTTACTGGGTTCCACAACCAAGGCTCTAGGCCTCCTAGATGGGGTCGGAGTAGATGGGGTCAGAAGATCGCGCCGCCTCGCCGATGCATCGCCGATGCGGCTCGATGCGGAGCCCGATTAGCTTCACGTCGACGTCGCCGATGCATCGCCGATGCATCGCCGGTGCATCGCCGGATGCGTTGGGATCCTCCGACCCGACCCCGTCTCCGTCGACCTCGTCCAGGAGGCCTCTAAAGGCACAGGTGGCAGGGCGGCCCGAACCCGCAGCGGCACACGAAGGGGCGCGGGCTCCACGTTCCGCGGCTGGCTCGCCCGGCCCCCCGCCGCTCCGAGCTCCTGGAGGCTCCGCGGCAGGAGGGCGGCGGCACTCCTCCTCCGGCGCAGGCTCCGACGCCGAGGCGGAGCTCGCGGGGGAGGTCCCCGCGCGCAGCAGCTTCAAGCCGGAGAGAGCGCCCCCCCCGCGGGGGGGGCGGGAGGGGGGGGCAGGAGCGGGAGGGCCCGGGGCAGCGGCAGGGCAGGGCTCCTCTCGACCCCCCTCCGGCTCGAGGCCACTCGATCCCGACTTGGCTGCCAACTCCGACCCGGGTCGACGTGGGATTCCGGTGTGGAGCTCGGTCTCTCGATGGAGGCCTTATTGGTCTGCGCATGTCCGTCGATTCGACCTCTCCCGGCTTGGCTGCCGAGTGGGCTCAGCCTTGGGATGCGTCGACCCCTGCTCGCCGACGGGGACCTCGTTGCCCACCCCGCCCAGGAGCGTGTGGATTCGCTCTCGAGGGCGTGTCGCCCATCTGCCGGTGAGGTCTCGCCGATTCCGGGTCGGTGCTTCCCCCCGGAGCCGGTCCCCCCCTTAGCGTTGCCCCTCGGGTCGGGGGGCAGGACGAGCAGGTGACGCGCTGGCCCCCTGTATATTTCCTGGCCCCCTTCTTCGGCGGACCCGAGGAGGGCACGCGGCGCCCAGACTCGGGGCAGGATGGCGGAGCCGCGACGGGCTGAGCCAGAGCTCGTCGACCGAGGGGAGGGGGCGAGGTTGCGCACATCATCGTGATTCGGGTCTTCGGGATGGGTTGGGGTGGTTTGGTAGGTAGTCAAGAAAAGAGGTGCCCATACCGCTACCCTTCCCTCGTTTTCCCGTGTTTTGGGTCTCCCAGGAGGTCTTCGTCGCTACCGCTGGATTCTCCTCGAAATCTGAGTCAGAACGTACCCCAGGAGAGGTCCCGGGAGTAGTATCGGTACATGTTGGTTTCCCCAGATTCGGGCTCGTGGGTCCTTTGCCCAGGGGGTCTCGAACACGGACGCAACAGTTCCCGCAACCGTTCGTGCTGGAGGCGGGCAGAGTCCGTTGCGTCTGGCATCGTTGGTCCGCGAGAGACATACCACGCGTCATGAGCCACAGGATGGATTATTGTGTGTATATGTATATATATATATATATATATATATATATATCATAATATGCGAGACCTTACGGCCGGTGCCGCCGACCCTGAAGACGACGAAGATGAAAACGAGCGGGGGGGGGTAGGAGGCGGAGGAGGAGGAGGCGGAGGCGGAGGGAGGAGGAGGAGAGGAGGAGGAAGGAGGAGGAGGAGGAGGAGGAGGAGGAGGAGGAGGAGGGAGGAGGAGGAGGAGGAGGGAGGAGGAGGAGGGAGGAGGAGGAGGAGGAGGAGGAGGAGGAGGAGGAGGAGGAGGAGGAGGAGGAGGAGGAGGAGGAGGAGGGAGGAGGAGGAGCGTGTGCGGGTGAGCGCACGCCTCCGAAGGCCCGCGCGGACCTCCTGGAGCTGCGCTGGCCCCCCCCCCCCCCCCCGCCCCTCTCCGTGGCGCGCGCCCCGTGGCGCGCCACGGGGAGGGGCGCCCGGCGCGGACCCCAGAAGCCCGCGCGGAGCCTCGAGAGTTTTGTGTGCCTGCTCGCTGCTGCTGCATCTGTTTCTGCGCGCTTCGCGCCCGCTGCGGGACGAGCTGGAGGCGCCGGATCCTAGAAGCCCGCGCGGAGCCTCGAGAGTCTGTGTGCCTGCTCGCTGCTGCTGCATCTGTTTCTGCGCGCTTCGCGCCCGCTGCGGGGCGAGCTGGAGGCGCCGGAGGCCCTCTGCCGGGGCGTCCCGCGGGCGGCCCGCGGACGGAGCCCGCGGGCGGGCGCCACCCGCCGCGCGGCGGTGGCGCGTGCCACCGCGGGTCCCCGGCTGCGCGGGGCGACCTGGCGGCCACGCTCGTCGCTCGGGGGCGGCAAAGAGGGGGGTGATGACTAGGGGGGGGGTGGATCTCATGGCGGGGGCCATGGTATTGCCCCAGATTTCATGGCGCCCCTTCTTATTTCATTGCGTCCCTGGCCCCCCCGCTGGGCCGCGCACATGCCGCCGGTCATGATTTGCACCCCCCCTCTTGGACACCCCCCTCTTGGCCGCTCCCGAGTCTCGGCAGGAGGCGCTGGGCGCTGCACGCCGAGCTGGGGCAACGCTGGCGCACGACGGCGCAGCCCCTCTTTGGAGGGCTGGTCTTTTGGTTCGGCAGCAGCTCGTGCGAGCTTTGCATACCCTCGCAGTTCCGTCTTTGGAGTGCGTTAGCGTCGAGTAGCGTCTGGTAATCGATGACATGGTGCCGATCTAGCATCGCTTAACGTCGATTCGCGTCGATTCGCGTCGATCAGCGTTGATTTAGCGCCAATTCGCAAGAGCCAACAAGATGGCATGGGAGTTTCCCATGAGTTGCCACAGAAGGGGCATCGTCGGCGCACGACGGTGCACCCGTTCTCTGGAAGGGCAGTCCCTCTGATTGCTCATGAAAACTCAGGCGACATTTGGCCAACATGGTCCATCCCAGGGTTGCATGGCTCGCGCGTCGTGTGCGGGAGACGTATCCGCATCCCGCCCAGGGGGGTGTTGGTCCGAGCAGCCGAGTCGCCCACGGGGTCTCGGCTGCGAACCCACTACCGTCCGAGTCGCCCAGGGGGGTCTCCTGCGGGAGCAGCTCTCGTGACTCGCCCAGAGGGGGTTCACGGGGGCGAGGCAGCCCAGGGGGCGCTGGGACAATCTCGTGGCCCCGCGGGCGCGGCCCCGCGGACGCGGGGAGCGTCTCTCCGCGGCTGCCCCGCGCGGAACGCGTACTCCAGATTTCGTAATAAAGGGAGGGGGGTCTCATTTCGGGGGGTGTCTCTTCCAGGCTATCTTGGAGGGCCTGGGGGGTCTGGGGACGATGTTTTGGAGGGTTCTCCCACGGGGGAGGTCTGAAATGGCTTGTCTTGGAGGGTCCAGACCCCCTCCCTTTGATTACGAAATCTGGACTATCCATGTCATTGCGCATCCCTTGGGGCTCCCGCGCCCCGGAGGCCAGGCCGCGAGGGCGTGGATGTGTGAACGCGCCCGCCGCCCGTGCAGTCCGAGGCGCGCTCCGTGGCAAAGAGCTCCGTCCCCAGCGTTAAGTCGGGCCTGTCCCTGTCCCTCTACAGGGGGAACATTCGAAAATAGTCCAAACATAGTCTGGGGACTACTCTGAAAGTAGTTTTTGGACCATGCTGGAATATCTTTTAGGGTATGCTTCATTTTTCGTCGAAAATCCCCCTGTAGGGGGACAGGCCCGACTTCACCCCAGCGCCGCGCACGCCGCGCCCTCTGACCCCCAGCGCGCCGCCAGGAGGATCTGATCGCCGCCTGCCGCGAGGGCAACGCGTCCACCGTCCGGGCCTTCATCCTGGAACGGTCCCGCGGCAACGCCGGCATCGTCGACGCGGAGGCTCTTCGTGCTGGCCTGCTTCGGCTCCCCTTGGCTCCAGGCCTCCCAGACCAAGACGTCCTCGCGTCGTGGAACAAAATCACAACGGAAGGTTTTTGGTCATTTTCGGTCTCCAGGGTCCTCGCCGGGCTCCAGGACCCTAAAACAACGAGTCAGGAGGAAGGACCGGTCTGTCGGAAGAGGACCAGACCTCTGGGGACCCACGTTGAACAAATCACGACGTCGGATGTCTGGGCACGGGGTCCGATGAGATGGGTGCGGAGGATCGCGCCGCATCGTCGATGCGTCGGCGATGCGGCTCGATGTGGAATTCGATGCAAGCGGCGCCGATGCATCGGCGATGCATCGGCGACGTCGGCGCCTTCTTCCGAACAGATCTACTCGGACCCTATTTGGGAGGCCTCCATGGGTCGGGCGTTGCCAACTGTCCCTGGCCCATGGGTGTTTCCAGGACATCCGGGGAGGCCTCCGCGGCCTCCAGAGTAACCCCTCCGCGGGGCCCGCAGGGCCCCACGGGCCCCAGAGAGCGGCGCGAAGGGCTGGGGACACCCATGGCCCATGGCTAGTGACGCCCTCGACAAGCCCAGACTTTGCGAGAAGAAGAAAATCCACATAAACATAAACTTTTGGCGCTTCGCGCGGATTTCTTGGATCTGCGCCTGGCCCCCCGGCGGCCCCTCCGGCGCCGCCCCTGGCGCGCTCCGCGCGCCAGGGAGGGTTTTTTCTTCTTCTATTTGCGGTGTCTGCGACTGCTGCCGTGGCAGTTTCAGTGGCGGCGACGGCATGGTGGTGGCAGTGGGGGTGGCAGCCGCAGCTCGGCGTCGCGCACGGGGGCCGCCTTCGAGAGGAGGCGCGCCGCCCGTTCTGGAAGGCGCGCGGCGCGCTTGTTAGTCTGCTGCTTCTTTCGGTATTGTTTAGCCGGTCCCTGCCGCCATTCCCATCCCCATCTCGGCCCCCACTACCCCATCCCCCTTCGCTGGTGAACTGGCCCTCGGAGCCCGCAGGAAGCAGCTCGCGTCCCCACCTAAGGGGGTACTGGGACCAGGGCCGCGCCAGCAGGGACAGGGGTCGGACAAGCGGTGCTCCACCTCGTTGGCGTTCTGCTCTCTCCCCGCCCCCCGCGGACAAGGAGTGCACCGAGGAGGCCCGCCCCTGTTCAGAGGCCCCCCCGCGCCTTCTGGGACGGCGGCGCCGATTGCCCTCGCCCTGCCCCAGACCTGCGCGCCGCCGAGCAAGGGTGCCGGCGACGGTGGCGGTGATCTTGCCGGGGGTGTGCGGGGGGGCGTGGAGCCATCGTTTCTCGCGGCGCCTCTCCGCGGGGGCCTCGTGGGCGCCTCGAGGCACCAGCGGCCATGCACGGACAGCCACCATCAGGAACGACTGGGGCTTGCTTGGGGCATGCTGGCGGTCTCCTCGTGGCCGTCCTGGAAGTTCTTTGGGGCTCGTCGTCGTCGTCGTCGTCGTCGCCGTCGCCGTCGCCGTCGCCGTCGCCGTCGCCGTCGCCGTCGCCGTCGTCGTCGTCATCGCCGCCGCCGTCGTCGTCGTCATCGTCGTCGTCGTCGCTGTCGTCGTCGTCGTCGTCGTCGTCGTCGTCGTCGTCGTTGTCGTTTTTTGCACCCGGACCTAGCCACGGGTTCACCAGCTGTCGGCAAATGCACAGGCGAAGGCTCATCACACTTGAAGCCCTTGCTGATCAAATTTGCATATCCCTGCTGTGGTCATGTGTATGTGTATGTGTGTGTATATGTAGTCGTATTTATTTGATGTATTCTATATACATATGTATAGGTACATCTTATATGTACGTACGTATGTGTGTACATGTGTATGTGTGTATGTGTGTACTTGTGCGTGTTCATATATGCATGCATGCAAGCATTCATGCATGTATGCATACATATATACACATATATGTTTATATATGTATGTGTATTATATACGGTAACCCCCCACATGACCATACATATTCTTCTTCCAAACATCCCATATCTCCTCCTCATCCTCCTTCACTCTTCTTCGTTCTCTATCTCTCTCTCATCCCCTTCTCCTCCCCCTCCTCCTCCTGCAGGAGCGTGGCAGCCTTACAAAGGAATCTCGGTTTGAAAAGCCTTACACAGGGGCTGCTTTCTGAAGAAGAAACCCTGGGGAGCAATCAGTAACCCCCCCTCCCCCCCCCCTCATAAGAGGAAATTATAACGCTTCCGGCACCGGGGCCGGGGCGGAAGCGATATCCCCCGCAGGTCACCAGAGGTCCGCGGAGGGGAGGTCCCGGGAGGTTCCCAGCAGGCATCCAGAAAGGCCTCCACAAGCCTCTGAATGCCCGGTCCTTTGATGTTATTTTGAGTTCCTGATGATCCTCTGAGACTCCTTTGGTGTTCCTTTGATGTTATTCTGGGGGTCCCTTGAGGTTCTGGTCATATCCCTTTGATGCCCCATTGCTTAAGGGAGCATCACATCGACATCCGGGGCCGGTGGATTATTTTATTTTCAATAAATGTGCTAACATATCGCGGGGGGTTTCGCGGAATCCGTCTGCGATATCTCTCCGTGGACTCTCCCACAGGATCCCCTGAAAGAATCAATTTCCCTAGTGCGGTCGCCTTCGTGGTTCGTTTGAGCTGCCGCTGAGATGCCTTTGCGATTTCTGTTGGGCTCCTTTGAGACTGCTTTGAACTTCCATTCGTTCCTTTGATATTATGCGTGGGATTCCTTGTGATATTCTTATGGGATTCCTTTGGGGGTCCTTTCAAGTTCCTCTGACATTCCTTCGACAATCCCTGAAGGGAGCATCACATCGACCTCCGGTGCGCGTCAGTTTCCCAGTGTTCTAGCAAGGCGGGAACCCATTGGCAAGCGTTCGTGCGCATTGGTTCTTCAGGCTGTCGCCTCACGTTGCCGCCAGCTTCGGGCCCGGGGGGGGGGCAAATGAATTGATTATTTGATTTTTTATGTGCTAACGATATCGCCGGAGGGCGCCGCCCAAAATAATTATTTATTTTATTTTCTGTGCTAACGATATCGCCGGGGGGTTTACTGTTTGCTTCCCGGGGTAAACCAGATGAAAACACATCGGTTCTTCCAGCACAGAAGGATGTCCCTCCACGAGGAGGAGGAGGCAGGAGGAGAAGGAGGAGGGTTGGAGGAAGAGGAGATCGGGCACCGAAAAGCAAAAAACACAAGGAACAATCAAAACAACCAAGCAAACCAAAGACCCAGGGCTGAGCAACAAAACAAAACACAAGGACAAACAAAACAACAACAAACAACCACATATTTCAAGACTAGCCCCGTCCCCGCCGCCCTTACAAAGAAAGTGCTGCATTTTTTTTGTTGCTTGTTTTTCCTTTGCTTTTTCTATTTTTTCAGCCCTGGGTCTTTAGTTTAGTTTAGTTTTTTTTTTGTTGTTCCTTGTTTTTTGGGGGGTTTCTCAATGTCCAGAAGGTCTTTGTGGTGCTTTCCAATCGAATCCCATTGTGGTGTTTTCCAAAGAATTCCGTATGTGAGGATTTCCAAAAGAATCCCTTTGCGGCGCTTTCCAAAATATTCTTGTTGTAAGGTTTTCCAATATCACCCCGTCGTGGCGCCTTCCAATCCAATATAATCCCTTTGTGGAGCTTTCCGAAGGATTCCTGTTGCGAGGCTTTCCCACATAGTCCCTGTATGGTGCTTTCCAAAGGATTCATGTTGTGATGCTTTCCAATCGAATCCCTTTGTGGTGCTTTCCAATCCAATCGGATCCCGTTGTGGTGCTTTCCAAAGGGTTCTTGTTGTGAGGCCTTCCAGTAGAAACCCTTTGCGATGTTTTCCAAAGGGCTCCTTTTGTGAGGCAATCCAATGGAATCCCCTTGTGTTGCTCTTCCCACGGACTCCTGTTGTGTGGCTTCCCAATATAACCTTTTAGTTGCGCTTTCCAGAGGATTCATGGTGTGAGGCTTTCCAATCGAATCCCTTAGTAGCGCCTTCCAATCCAATATAATCCCTTTGTGGTGTTTTCAAACGGATTCCTGTTGTGAGACTTTCCAGCGGAATCCTATTGTGGTGCTTTCCAAAGGATGCCTGTTGTGCGGCAGTCATTCCTGGTGTGAGACTTTCCAATATAATCCCTCTGTGGTGCTTTCCAATCCAATGGGATCCCTTTGTGGTGATTTCCCACAGGATTCCTGTTGTAAGGCTTTCCGATAGAATCCCGTTGTGGTGCTTTCAAATCCAATAGAATCCCTCTGTGGTGCTTCAAAAGGACCCCTGTTGCGAGGCTTTCCAATGGAATCCCTGTGAGATGCGTTCCAAAGGGTTCCTGTTGTGAGGCCTTCCGGTAGAAACCTTGGTTGTGCTTTTCAATAGGATCCCTTTTGTTGCGCTTTCCAATCCACTATAATCCCTTTCTGGTGCTTTCCGAAGGGTTCTTCTTGTGAGGCCTTCCGATAGAAACCTTTTTGCGATGCTTTCCAACGGATTCCTGTTGTGATGCAGTCCAAATGAAATCCCTTTGTGGTGCTTGTCCCAAGGACTCCTGTTGTGCGGCTTTCCAATGGAATTGGAATCCCTTTGTGGCACTTTCCAACACATTCTGGTGTGAGGCTTTCTACTAGATGCCTCTTGTGGCGCTTTCCAAAGAATGCCTGTTGCGAGGTTTTCCCATCGAATGCTTTATTTGTGCTTTCCAAATGATTGTTTTTGCACGGCAATCATTCCTGGTTTGCGGCTTCCAATCGAATCCCGTGGTTGTGCTTTCCAGAGGATTATTGTTGTGAGGCTTTCAAATGGAATCCCCTGGCGGCGTTCTTCTTTCCAATAGACTCCTTCTATGGTGATTTCCAAAAGGATTCCTGGTGTGAGGCTTTCCAATAGAAATCCTTTGCGATGCTTTCAAAAGGAGTTCTGTTGTGAGGTAATCCAGTATAATCGTTTTGTGATGCTTTCCAAAGGATTCCTGTTGTGAGGCTTTCCGACATAATCCCTTTGTTGTACTTTCCGAAGGATTTCTGTTGAGACGGATTCCA